CCGCCCCCCCCTCCCCGTTTAATAAACATTTAAAACCTGGATGTAATTTGCAAATCTTCAACTTAAAAAAAAGAGAAAATTAATTTTTTCTTTAATTATTAACTTGTTATTAATTTACAATATTAACTTTAATTTCAGAAGAGTTCTTATTTATTTAGATATGGTTTTAAAAATTAAAACCAGAAAAGAAAATTTAAAAAAATTATTTTTTGCCTTGTTACTTTAAAAATTAGTTTGCTTTATTTTTTCTTCATTTTTTTATCAGGTATATTGTTTGCGTTTTTCGAAAAATTTAATAAAATCTTCCCCCACAGTTAAGATTTCCCAAGGTTTTGCCAGATTTTCAAAATTATTCCCCAGATCCCAAGGGGGGTCGTGAATTCCCAAGACCTTGGGAAATTTCCCAAGGTGTGGTAGCCCTGACAGGAAGTATTCGTCATAACCAACCTCAGGTGACCAGCCGGGTCCGAATAGCTATTTGCGGCTGTTGATACTCGGGTACCTATAGCCACTTCGATATAATATATTAAAAAAACGAATTGAATAGTAAAGACGATAGACGAGAAGTTTTTAGTTATGATATACATTTTAAATATCAATTATTGCATTTTATCTTTCATTAAAATAAATTACAAACTTTCTAATTGCTTTTACCAAAGAAATTCAAAAGAAACTATAGGTTCTAAGACTAAAATTAATAGTACCGCGCTTATATAAGACCAATAATAATAATAATAATTATAATAATGATAGATTTATTTTGTGGCATTTGCATTGTTGTTAGTGGTTCACAATTTATAGTTCTTGGTACCCTGGCTTATTTCCGGGATAAGTTAATCTGCGCTCCGGAATGATTATTCAACATTCTAAAATCTTATTTAAAAATATTTTTACTGAACCTAAGGAATAACAATAAATGTATGTTGATAATTTTCAAATAACATTTCTATGTTTTTTAATTACTAATTCAGTCCCGAACCGATTGTTACATACAAAATAATACTTCATTATGAGGAATGATAGTGATAGCGTCCATGGATACGATATAAAATATAATATTATATATAGTAGTAGTAGAAAGAGAATGAAATGAAATTATGGCTGGTCATGTTCTTTCTAGTAAATTCTATTCTCTTCCAGTATCCAGTAGTAAATCATCAATTAAAAATTTGATTTAATACTTACCGTATTTGATTTCGAATACGATTTATTTACTTGCTCGTACTGAAGCCTACTGATTACTGTCTGTTGATCTGATGTCATGTAAATGTTATTAAATGTTATATTTATATTGAATTGATATTATAATTTTTTTATAATTGAAGAATGTGGAGTAGAGATACAGTAGATTCAAGTTTTAAAGCCTACATTATTATTATAAAATATTAGGCATATTAATATTTCATTACAATTAGTGTGAATTACATAATCATAATTCTAATACTAGTAATAGTAATGCAAAGGCAAGGTAGACTAAAGTGTCTAAAGTAAAGCTTGGGGGAGTTGAGTCAAGGCCACTGCCTATGCAGCACTGTGCTAACCTAAACAACATAATTTTGCATAAATACTATAAGACGATAGAAAAAAAGTATAGACTATAGTCTGAGTCTGAGAGATCAATAGTAATGAGTAGGCCTATAGCTTATAATACTTATATGAATATTAATTAGCCAATTCATATCCTAAATTTTATTTTTTTGAATGCTAGTGCTAGGCTAAATCATAGTCATACCATCAAATTGATTTAACCATAATAATAACCATTATAACTGACTGTTATTGTTGTCGTTACAGCCCTGTGATGGACAAAAGCTCTAGTACCCCATAATTTTTTTCTTTTAAGTTTAAAACCCAACCCAAATCAACAGCTGGGACCTATTTTTTCCGCCTTTCTTTTTTTAGATTTTTCAACACAGAAAATGAGTTCCCCTTATCACTCATTAAAAAAGAACAAAGTTCCTTTATTTCCTGGACATATGACAGGCAATCGTCCAATACCTTTTCGACACCCTGAATATTCAGAAGATGAGAGTAAACTTCTTGAAGAAATCACCTCCAGTATGGTGCAAGACAAAAAGAAACAGTACCTACCTCACCTAAGTGTATCCACCAGCCAGACACTTGTACGCCTGCCTGAGACATCAAGAACTGATAGTTCTCCAGAAAGAAGAGTAGATTCCAAAGCTCCCCCAAATGATCATGAACTAATGAGATTAATGATGAATAAGATAACCCTGCTTGAGCAAAAGGTCTGCACCCAAATAAAAAGATTTGTTTAATATGGGAAAATAAGACTTAATTTTATGGGTACCTTCTTTCTATAAAATAAGTTATATAAATAAAACATTGCACACATAGGATGTGATTCATAAAAAGGGTAAAATTAAAGTGAATCGTTATGTTTAAAAAAGACAACTTAATATAAAAAATGTTTCAAAGAGGTATTTTTTGGAAGACTAATGTATTTAAAGGTTTAAAAAATTCACAAAAAAACTTATGCAGCATACCATGATAGTACCAGAAAAATGTGTGCTGTAAATCACTTGATCAGATGAGTGGTTTTGTTTCCTATCTGTAATTGAAGACACATCATAAAATGTAAATAATGAAATTAAAAGTTAATAGATTAAAGTATGGTTACATTATTTATTAACTCCTTTAAATTTAACTCTGTGACATCATTAAAGGTTCAGAGTCAGGAAAAGGATATCAAAAATAAAGACAGGCAGATTAAAATACTCGAAGATAAACTGCGCATTACAGAGAAAGCCAGGAAAGAGAGCACAAGCACAAGTGAGGTCAAAGACCTTGAGACACATTGCTTGCTGTTACAACAGCAGGTAAGTTTCAATGCTTTTCATTTACCTACAGAAAAAAAATTGAAATAATTGATAAACAAAGCTTATGAAGGATCGACAAAAAACGGGGTAAAAAGAAAATTTAAAAAAATAATAAATCCATTTTTTCTTATTTATAAATTTGATAAGCACTGACTGTTATCATCATGATGTCAGCTTGGCATACAGTAGTTTAGTGTTTTAAAACACAAATCCCAGGCTAGCATTTATACAGCACACTGAATAGCACCACATATAGTGCAGGCTTTTTTAATTTATAAATTATATATACCCCGGTAACTTATATTATGAGCTTATATTAAACAATAAAAATAGTAAAAGGAAAATGTAGGCAATTAATAGCTTTTGCTTAAAAGAATCTTTCTAAATGTAAATATTTTCTTATGCTCCACATCTATATTTTTATCACAATGACCAAACTTAATTCAAGGAATGATTATTATTCCCCTGCCATATTTGGTCACCATATTTTCAATTTCAGGTTCATGAAATGGAGACCTTCTTAGCTGAGTATGGAATGGTATGGGTTGGCGAATCAAGCGATGCTAACTCTAATGTCTATCTGCCAGACAGCATTGATGATGATGATGATGAAAACAACAACGTCACAGAAGTGTCAATACGCAGTGATTCGCCAGATAATTCAATCGCCTCCTCTAACCCATTCGGCATTTGGCGGCAGGATGTGTCCCTCCCGGTGGCCCCCACCCCATTGAATATAGACTTCAATTTGTTAATAGAAAATATAAAGGACCTAAATGTCTTGGCAGGGGAGGGTGTGGCGCAGATTAAAAAAACAGCAGACGGGGCAAGATTTGAGGTGCCTGAATCAGTGCAGCTAACACTCTATGCCAATGGCATCATGATGTTTGATGGCCCTTTCAGACCCTACACTGACCCCAAGACTCGCCAGTGTGTAAAAGATTTGCTAGATGGCTACTTCCCCACAGAACTGCAGAAAAGGTTCAGTTATGATATGAATAAATCTTCCACTTCAATGTATATTTCAATTTCATCCCTAATATAATACTCTAATGATGATAATTTAATGCAAATGTTAATCTTTTCTAGTATAGATATTTACGCAAACTCATTTATATATTTGAAAGTTTTTTAACACATTTAAAACCTGCCAACATCATCCATACAGCCTGATATGTCAATGAATAGTTGATGTTTTTACCCAAACCCCAGTGTAACACTGGTGTTTTACTCAGGAACAATATAACATTTTGAATCCTGAGAAAATATTTAGTACCATAGTTATAATTTTATAATGTTAAAAGCTGTTAACATGTTAATGTTTCTAAGACATAGTAGTCCTACTTATAAGTCACTTAAAAAATGCATATTTAGTTTCTACATAACTATTTTTTTATATAGAGTAGATATTGTGTCTTTAAGATCCATTTTAAGAAATCCTCTCTTAAAACATCGTGGCATACAGTCAGCTTATGCTGGGGTGGGATACCTTTGTAAACTGTTGAGCATTGAAACTCTTAATGTTAATGTAAAATTTCAAATATTGAGGAATACACTTTGTAAAAAAAATTCATTGCACCATACTGTGTACCAGTACCCGTTACTAGCAAATAATTAATTTTAGTCTTAAAACAATTTCAGATATCCTGATGGTGTCCCTTTCATGGTCAATGACCTCAGAGGAACAAACTTTCAGCCGAAGCAAAGCCAGTCCATTTTTGCGGGCATGGGACAAACACTTGGTGGTGACATCAAACCATCACGTCTTGTCCGTACAAATTTAAGGGACTCCACCAAAATGATTCAAATGCCAAGCCCAAGGACACCTGTGCCATCTTCCTCCACTAGTGGTATGTCTGTATTGTTAGTGCTGGCATGCCTTACATCAAAACCATAATGTACTGTAATCTCTTATATAGTATCATATAATAGATAATTCACTTCTAAATGTAATGGTATATGTTATTACTGCTGGGTTCTTTACTTAACTATCAACAAGCAGGCAGATTGTAAAGTTACTGTACCTAAAGAGGGAAGACGAAAAAATTGCTGGAAACCAAAAATACTTGCAGTTTTGTTTCATTAAAAAGTGTAGACTTGTTTTTATACATGTCCTCTTTTACAACTTTTAGGGCTTATACTTTTACTAAGATGTCGAAAAAAAAATGGGTACCTCCCTGCCTTAAGATTAGTCCCACTTCTTTCAAATTACTTTATACCTTTGGAATATTATCCTTGTACACTTTTAAAAAATTCAAGATATTATTGAGAAAAGGGGAAAATACAGAATGTTTTAGAGCTCATGATTTTGATAATTCACAACAACAACAAAAACTTGCTTTATTACTTTATTCACTAAATTTTTTCCACCATCAGATCAACTCAAAGAATCTCTTCCAACTACTTCAAAGTTGCCAGGAAAAATAATGCCACAGGACCAGTTCTTAAATAAGTTACCCAAATCAGTCATCAAGGATGGGAAAGTGATTGACATTCGAGAATCAATAGGAAAAACGCTGACAGGAAATGACTCTGGTAAATCCTCATCTCCAACATCAACGATCACAGTCATTAAAACCAGTGCTACCAAGGAGGCCTCAGAGAGTTTCTCAAACAACTCTTCAGAAAGGCCAAGGTCGGTGAAAAGTCAAGGGGACATAACAACATTAAGAGTAGTGACAGAAAATGGAGACCACACGTACATCATCAAGATGAAATTCAAAGAAACTGTTGGGGATCTCAGGAGGTATTTGGATGGCCAGCGTCGACCAAAGTTGCCCTACGATATTGTGTCTACTTTCCCCAATAAGGTTCACAAGAACAACACGCTTACTTTGGAGGCCAGTGGTCTCACACCTAATGCAGTTTTACACTTAAAACCACACAAAGATTGAGATTGCATTGTTTTATTATAAAATTTATTACACTAGCTAGTAATTTTCACTGACTAAAATTGTAAAGAAAAAATATTTGTGATATTGCATGAATAATGTTTATCTCTTGAGGGGAGGGGGGGAGCCTGTAGTAGGAAGAAATTTAAAAATGAAATTAAAATGGGTGTAAATAGTGTACAGTAATTAAGTTAAATTATTAATCTTTATAACCAATATCTGGCACTGCACTGGTTTACATAAATTAAAGCCATTTGGCAAATAATATATACACTAGTATAAATACCGGTAGCGGTACTAGTACTAATTCAGTTTTATTAGACCTTAATCTTGTCCTGTACTTGCTGTCATACAATTTGTAAAAAAAATTGAAATACCTAATAAAGAATAATTGTCTCTCCAAATTATTTTCAAGAAGCAATAACTTTGAAATTATAGTTAATAGTTAAGATATTTTTCATCAGATACATAAAACTAGTTAATAATGGCACCTTTGGAAACATTTATCAAAGAGTTTGAAGGTCTTGAAGAAATTATAGAGTGCAGAATGATCTATGGGATATGTAGCATTTTTGGTGGGGCTTAATGACCTTTGATACTTGTGAAAGTCCTGGCAGAGTTGGGCATTTTTTTTTTAGTTTTCCTTTTTTTTTTTTTTGCCAAGGGTACACCAATTGTCCACCTTGCAGGTTCCCAACCCATGGGCAGTGAACCCCCTTTGGGCCATGCATGGTTTTATGTGGAGGCTGCTTGCTGATTTGGGCATTTTTTTTTTAGTTTTCCTTTTTTTTTTTGCCAAGGGTACACCAATTGTCCACCTTGCAGGTTCCCAACCCATGGGCAGTGAACCCCATTTGGGCCATGAATGGTTTTATGTGGAGGCTGCTTGCTGAAACAGTAGGGTAAAAAAAATATATTAAAAGCAGTATTGGTATTCATTTTTAGTCTGAGTCTTCAAGTTTGAATAATGTACCCATTAGCTGCAAGAGTGGATATTCAACATCTCTTTATTTGAAAAACCAAACAAGAAGGAAGTTAAATGTTGAGAATGGCATGTCAGCATTGACTGAAATTCAACAGAAAAATTTGTAGATGCTTGTTAATAAGTTACAATTTTGATCATCCCTTTAAATATACCAGTGTGTCCGAAGTTAAAATTATACAGAGTTACTATATTCCGGTACATAAAAATATATTTTGTTGTTTTCTTTATTCCTATCAAAAAGCCTAATTTTAAAATGTATCAGTAGTATCCGGGTCCCTCCTCACTTTGCTTCTATTTCTATTCTAACAAAAAAAAAATGGGTTCGCGACTCAAAAAACTTTGGGCAACTTGTGTTATAGTAGTAGTTATCCTTAAAAAACTGTTTGTTATAAAGTCAGAAATCAAATTTTGTCGATCCATTAAGTCATGAAGCCTGGAAAATGGTAGGAAGCACAATAAATTAAATAAATATCCTCTGTCATTGTTTTGTAAAAATGTCTACAAAACTTCCATGCTTGTTTAAAAAGACACTCTAGGTTTAAGTTTAAAAACCTTGTAATGCTCCAATAAATTGATAGCCACATGGCATCTTGCAATCGGGCAAGTCCAATGTGAGGAACACATTTTTTACTGTATAATTTGATTTTCATTTCTGCTAAGAAGATATTTTGCAAGCTGCATCTATACCTTCAAAGAACCGTCTCAAGAGCCGGGTTTTGCAGACCACTGACTCGATCGATGTTTGCTTACCAATGGCCCAAATGCCCAGCAACATATAAGCCAGAACAGCTCTATAGTCTTGTATAGCCTTATATGTTATTTAATTTTACTGCTGAGATTTTTTACTTTAAATGAACCAACTGCTGAACATGTTTATTGACTTGTGATAAGAATACTTTTATTCTTTTCTACCGAGTATTATTATACCATTACTTTTTTTTTTTTAAAATTTACAGACTATTGTAATTATATTATGTTAAATTTAAACATTTTGCATGGGATGCTGTGATTCAACCTCTAAGGTATTTCAAATAATAAAAAACAAGTTAACCCTATCATTGACCTGATAAATTTAGTGCTGTATTATTGTATTGCACGTGAGGATTATTTCTGATTAACAAAGAAAACAGCAATACTAAATGCTCTTTTAGAAAGATATGAACAGTTATCAGAAATTAATATGGATGACATCCTAATTCATTTACCAGTATGTAAAATACTACAACTGTATTTCAATGAATAAATACAATTTAAAGAAAAAATATGTTTTAAAGTGAATAAATTCTTTTATAAAACTCTGTTGTTTAAAGGTTGTGTTGCATTTTAGCTGTGTGGTCAGCGTGTGGATGGGTAAATCTGCCACAGTATGTATGACATTGAGATGACACAAATGAAAATAAATCCCTGATAAAGTATTATTACTGATTGGTTAATTTAAAATGGATACTAATACTACTTTTTTCAGATGAAGTTACATTATAAAATTTGAAAAAAAAAACCACAATGTTTCAAAATGAGCTACAGTACAAACCAGGACAAAGTTCACAATAATATGTGTGTATGGGCAATATTTCACTGGCTTGGTGAAAAGGGAAGTGAATTCCTTACACTTATGGTTCTTGGAATCAGCAGTTGAAACTGGTCTTCTGATACTTCATACTTCTAAAACTAGCTGTTGACACATGATAACAGACCACATTTTATCAGGTCTGTTGAAGTGCTGCAGAGGTTTCCAAAGTTGGGAAGTAAAATACATGACTAATGTCAGATTTTCAAGTCCAAGTGTTATTATTTATTCCTAACATTTTTTCTTTCTAAAATACAATGTAGTATTTGGCTAGGTACTGTTCATACATTATTGAGGTAGAGAAACATATTAATGCTTGCTAGCATTTAACAGGAACCCCCATAGATAGCTTCTTCCTTCATTCATAGCTCTGTGTATCCCTGAAGGGCATGATTAATGTATAAATCACCCCTCATGAATTGTATATGCCTTTCAATGAACCAATTCCCCACTCGCACTCTTAAAAAATAGTTTTATTTTTAAAAAAACCTGTTATATTGTAAATATTGTAAGTGTTTGTGGTGTGGGTGCGCAAACTCTTAGCATGTACAGGGATTAAAAATTACGGGCATGCACACCTATGTTAAACATTTAAGAAATAAATAAATGAATTATTCGCCCGCATTTACAATCAGGCCTCTGATTAAGCCTACATGTAATTTCCATGACCTGCATATGAAGCAAAGCAAACGTGTATGGAATTAACAAACATCAAATGTTAAAAATGTGGTTTCAAGTTTATTCAAATTAAATTAAGCTCACAAATACACAGGCTCTCAAAGTTAACAATCTGAATGTAAACTTCTTGATTCAACCGCACACAAACCACCATTTTTGGTCAATGAATGAGATACAACAGTCATTCCCAACCTGGTTTTGGCAGACATTAGTGCTCAAGAGGGATCCCCATCAAAGTCTTTTTGTCGAGTAAATCAAGATTTGAAATTTAAAAAATATATATTTTTTTTTTAAATTTCAATATTCATCCCATCAAATTTAGGATTTTTCAAATGATTTGTAAAATCAATAGATGAATAATCTTTAGTAGGTTGAGAAACACTGTTATTGTTCTTATTCATTGAGGTAATAAATATAAGATTTATAATATCTGCAGTAATGCAATGTGTTCTTTATTTTTTAAACTGTGGTAAGTAACACATTGCTCTATGCGAAACCACCCGCCTTCTCTTTAAAAAAAATAACCACTCATCACAACTACCGGTAATAAAAAAATTCCAACAAATTATTGAAAGTGGGGTCATTGAAAGTAATGTGATTTAATCAGACTTGGTCAAAGCTTATTATTAGCTATGACCCTGTAAAACTAACAAATTGGTTAATATAATCAACCCCTCTTTTTTAAATATTTACCGGTACTGGATAAGAAAAAATAATACAATTAAAGCAAATATGGAAGGAAATTGTTATGTACTTAAAACTAAAAAATTAAAGGTGATGGAGAAAGTTGCAATAAAAAAAAAATATGCTGGGGTACAACTATGTAATATTAGTCTTTTAAAATAAGTTAAAGACTTAAAATTTCTCTTCTGTTACAAAATGACAGGGAAGAGGTTTGGAAATGATGGTATAAGACAAGAGATCCTCTCCCTCATAATGTGTAGATGTTGAAATGTTCCAAATGTTTTCATGCCAGTACCACTCCACATTCAGAATTTTTAATTAGTTTCGAAATAAATTTATAGGACTGACAAAGAAAATTCCTCTACATCCCCCCCACCACAAAATGAAATAGTCAAATGCAGGACACCTTATATTTTAAAAGATTACCAGAAATTTATTCCAACTGGAATGATGGGGAAAATAATACCCAGTAATATATCTAAATTTTATTGAAGGTTACACTTTCCCCATTTCCCACTCGCACCTTCCATTAAAAAAACATTTTAAAAAATAAAATAATCTGTTTAACAAATTTCATTTCAAAAACCTCCATTTGAACAAAGTTTTAGATACAATTTTTTAACAATCAAATCTTATAATTAATTTATATGATATAAACATTTAAGCTTTTGTCCCCCACACACCAAATGTTAACCGTGTGTCGTCCCCCCCCCGGTGATTATTTTAACATTGATAAACCACAGTTTAGTTGTTTTTTGTTTAACGTATATTACCTAACTGCACACTTGTTTTGAAAAGATTTTTATGAGTTGTTTGTAATCACATTTCTTAAATTGGGAAAGTTTAGTTCCCAAAAAATTTTTTTTTTAAAATGCACTACCGGAACAAATCTTTTATCATGTTCGGCATTGATATTGAATCATGGAATACTATAATACAAATTAACATTCAGTCATGTGGTCTTGACTATACATCAAGTATTTGATGAGCATTTCATTTTGAATTTAATATCATTGAAGGCTAATCATTCAGTGTATTCTTGATGCCTGTTAAAATATTTGATTAATATATATTGCATAAGAGTCTTTAATTTAATTTAAAACTATGGAAAATAAATGCAAATAAATTGAACATTTTTTTTTCTCCTTGAATTTTTAACAAAATTCTCTTCACCTTTTAGCTTCTACTTCTAGACTCATATTTGTCAGAACATGAAAAAAATACCCCACAGGGCATGTTTAAGCTACTGTAGCCAATGTAACACAAGGTGCTGAAATAAAAACTGGCAGTTAGCCAGACTTTTAAATTAACTGTACAAAGTTAGGTATCATCTTTGTACACATTTATTAAGGTTACCTTACATAACTTTTGCTCCACAGAAATGGATAAAAACACTGGAAGAAAACAGGAACACAAAATTTTATAACTATTAGTTATCAATGATTTAATTTCCATTCTCAAAAAAACCAGGCAACCTTACACTCAATTCAGTTACCAGGTCTCATGTTCATTTGTTCACAGCTATGACCAACATCAAACTACACTAGGCTAAAATAATACATCAGTAAGTAGATAAGATCACTCTTTGTGCTGGCTTGGGTAACGTACCAGCATTTATAAGCTGGGGAGGGGGAGAAGATAGGAGACTGGCCACAAGTATTCTCATTAAAATAAATTATAACTTAGTTTCTTCACAACCTCAAAATTTCCTGGTGGAATAATGGGGGGGGGGGGGGGGGGGGTATTCAGGAATAGTGTATACCACATACGACTAATGTGTTGACAATCTGGGCGCCCATTCGGGAATCGGTTTGGGTATGGGGGACAACGTTTGGGGAGGAGGGAGAGATAGCTACTATTTCTTTTCATTATTTATTATATAATATCAATTTTAAAAAAACAAATTTTAAGTTAATTTTATTTGAATACATTAAAATAACTTATTATATTACAATGTGTTTCCTTGCATCTAAAAATTCCTTAACAATATTTACACATGCAAAATTAATGTCAAAAATGTAGAAAGCAAAAAAAAAATCTCCCAATGTAAATAACTTATGATAGGTGATAATTTTGTGATTGTGAAGAAAACTTCTCATATGCCTAATGGACATTCAGAATGTGTTCTTTATCACTAGCCAGGTCAACTTTTCACTTGGACAATCGCTCACATATAAAAACGGAGACCAACATACAAATCACTTCTGACAGCATAAATTCCACTCAGAAATATATAGATAATACACGCCCTAAAACGGTGATATCTTGAAGCATTCCAAATGCATACATAGACAAGACAATAGTTATGTGATTGGTGCTCAAAGTAAAATGCTTTTTTTATATTTAAAAAAACTTATTGAAAATAGAAAAAAAAAAGGCTAATAATTAAAATAAAAACTAAATCTGTTCTAAGGCTCAAAAGGGTGGACATTCTCTGCTGGATATTATTCTTGTATTTCATAGTGTGCGAAGCTAAACAGTTGTTTTTTCCTTCTGAAGTGTAAAGAATGAGACATAACTCAATCTCAGATACTATGGAAATTGTTTTAGATTCTTCAAACATTTCATAGCAGAAAAAACTTAAATGGTAAAGGGAACAGTCTCTGGTCTTTCTTATTTACATACTTTACAGGAAATGGGTAGTGAAATATTATTCAAATATTGAAAAATTAATTGTTTACATCAAATTTTCCATGTCAAATTTCTAATTCAATTCGGATCTTTCAGTGCTATTGTTTTTGTTACTCAAAATTGTTAAGTTCTTTTGATTAAGTCAATCTTGATACAAATATTAAGTGCTAAAACTAATATTTTTTGACAGTAAATATTCAAAACAATTTACCATAATACAATTGACAAAACATTAGTAATACTATTTAAAACTATATCACAAATGGATTTTATTGTAGCATTTACCAGGCTAACTCTTTTAAATTTGCAATATTAAGCAAGAGCCAATCACCAAGGTTATCTCCAGAGCTGAACCACACAAACAAAAACCTAAATGGTTTAACTGAACAGAACTGATTCACTCATTTAACTTTTACTTTATATACACTTCTTTATGCTCCATTTAGTTTTTTTATAGCGTGAGTGAAACTAAGAAAATAAAAGTTGCATCACAATTTATGCTCTTATTAGGTAATTCTTTATGTGAGCTATTAATATTGTAATCAAACTAAGATTAGCATAGGGTCATGTTTCTACAGTGCACCGTATTCCTGACTTAATTCATACATCATGTGCCCCCAATATTCCGGTCCTCATACAGTTTCTTCCCACTGTGCACAGTATTTCTGAACAACAAAGAAACAGCTATCAAATGCAGCACATAATGCTTATCAAGCATCTCGACTTGTTATTTTAAATGTACATGTAGCATGTTTTTTCTAAGTCCGCTACATGTAACCGAAGTAGTACTATTCTAATATGCACACAGTCCTCCAGTCTCAAGAAAGCAGCTGTCATCTGTAGTCACAATACAAGGCACAAACACTTTCTACAAGTTGTATTTATCTAATTAATTAAGATCTTGTTATTTGATTATATCTTCATTGAGACTGTATACAAAAATAACTGCCTTATAAAATAGAAACTATTCTTAAAAAGAACATTGTGCAAGCAGTGGGATAAAAAAAGAGTCCACATTTGTTGTTAAAATGCAGAAGCCTGATGGCTTCATGTCTTAAGATAAGCTTGAAAACATACTGAAATGATGTTAAATGCTACGAGGTCCTTTTTTGACCTAATCTCCAGACTTAAAATAGGTTCCAGATCTTGTATGTACAATTAAATGAGAGTTGTGCTGGACTTGTCATTGCCACATTAGCAGCATTTTAAAGTAATTCTGCTGTATCAATGAAACATAGAGATGACATCACAAAATTAAAACTGTCTTCAATTCATTCTATAAATAGTAACCTGCGGATCTAGAATAAGTGTATGCTAGAGTTAGAGTCTTTCCCATCATGTTTGAAAATGGATAAAAAAAAACTAAAACATTACTCGAGGTATGACACCATGTTTCAAATGGAGATGAATGTAACGACATGACTTTGGCAGGTAAAAAAAACAAAAAAACAAACAAAAAAAAAACAACAACATAACTGTCTGGTTCCAACAAACAAGCAAAAAATGGGAAGGGTGGAAAATTTCTTGGAACTGAAAGCTAATCGCAATAACTAACCAGAAGCTAAACATAGTAAATTTCTTCATTTTTGTCATTTCTTGCTAATCTATAAGCCAAGCGAGAGAGCATTTATTACACTGACTCAATTTAGTCAACCACCACTGCCTTGAAAATGAGCTATCAAATGCTGCTAGTGATTCCTTCTGGACTGAGAAAAGAATATAAAAACAGAAAGAAGAAAGCCTTATGACAGGGGTCGGGAGAGCCATGGACACTACATATTTTGAAAAGTAATTCTGTGAGAGCCATACATTATGTTTAAAACTAAAAATTCCAGTAAATGTGTGCATTTTGTGTATTTCAACACTAAAAATGCAATAATTATGTCTCTGAATTCTTTTTAATAACATTGTTATGCTGTTGCTAATCAATAATGAGTATTTCTTACCATTTCTGCGACTTTTTTTATATTTGAACATTTGTCTGCGAGCCAGATGCAGCCATCAATAGAGCCACATCTGGCTCGCGAACCATAGGTTCCCGACCCCTGCCTTATGACATAGCCTATTAAAATTTTCCACTAAAACATTTTTTAAAAAAATATCATTTCATATTTCAAAGGAGAACATTTGCCCAGAATTAAAACCAAAAAGTTATGGAATATACATCCAAAAAGGAAGGGTCTCCTGATCACAGTCAACCACCCAGGCAATTATTTCACAGGATACTACAGCCATGATGGCTACTTCCATTACGTCCATTCTTCAATCTCAGCCTCGACTTAGCACGATAGTGTTCTAGATAAGCCAACTGCTTTGTGTTGATAGCACCACGACGTTTTCTGGAAAGTGACAAGCATAAACGGTCAATACCAATGACTGCAGCTTTTCTCTAGATAACTTGCATTAATATCTTGAAAAAATATTCTTTTGAATTCAACAGGGATAGCTCATATATAATCATATAAAGCTAAAAAGTTATTTTAATTCTAAAAAGGTTTAATTTTTAAGCTAGCCTCAAACACTGCTCCATTTCGACTTAGAACTGTACATTCATTTATAGAGGTTTAATTAGTTTTTGATAGGTAATTAGACCTTGGCTGATAACAGATGAAAAACTTACTCTCGTATCATCTCTACAGCATCTTCATACTTAAGACCTGCTTCCATAAGGGCCAACGCAACTAGAACTGGAGCCCTGTAAAATTGAATGATTATTATATAAGCTCAGGTGCTTATGTATAACTAACAAGTGTCCCCAAAAATACTTTTATCATTTATTGACTATTAGAACAACTATTTTTGCCACTATTGAAGTGACTGGAATTTTTTTTTTTAAATATATATTTCTTGAAATGAATTGAAGACATCCAGAGATGGAAATGACTCAGAATGAATAAGAAAAAAAATATATATGAAATTACTAAAAATTAATTACTGCCTTCTAATGATGGAATTGTCTAGAAATGTATTGTTTATGTAAACAGTTAAAACAACATACCAAAAGCACATAAAGTTTTTGAGCAGTATGGCATTCAGACAAGAACTAAATAAAAACTTACCTCCCAAGCCCCGCTACACAATGTACAGCCACACAACAGCCAGGGTCTTCAGTGAAGCGAGATTTGAGTAGATTAAACCAGTCTTGTACGATTTCTGGTGGAGGTGGACTGCCATCATCAAATTCCCAGTCCTATAGAGTGAGAAAAACAATAATCCTATATGGTAAGAAAAACAATTTCATGTCTTTTAAGGTAGAAACCAAGGATAACACTTGGCCAAACATTACACTACTTTCATACAAGGTAACAGTCATTCACTAAAGCACTGTTCCATATAAACAAGGGCTGCACCAATGGCTGTATTAGATATAAAATTGAGATGTTTGTGTATTTTATTGGGGTTGTAACTAGGGTATCAATACATTTCATGTTCCCAAAGGCATAGCCAATAATTGAGAGGGACATGAGCAGAATTCTTTGGATTATTTCAGAGAGAGATGCCCCTTTTTGGCAGAACAAAGGATGTCTTTGTAATTACAAAAGGGGTATTCTGTATAAACCACAGACAAAATGGATGTTTACAAGACGCAATCCACTTTTCTAGATGGAAATGCCTAGCCCATATGAGAGAGGGGGAGCTTCCCTTAGTACTATATTAGAAAAGATGGTCCTTTTTCAGAATATAAAGAGATTTATTTTTCAAAATCTATTTTTTTCCTTCAAATCCTTGTATCCCCAAAATATCATTTCAAAATATAATGTTCTATGCATGAACTTTCTGGAAACTGCTTGATGAAAGTGACAAGCTTCTCAGCCTGTTCAGCCTTCACTGATCAATTTGAAGTAGCTTTGCCGAGGATCCCAATGCCCAAAATAGCTGTGAATAATTGGTAATTGGCTTATTTACTTAAAAGGGGAAACCCTAATACTAATATATATTAAACATTAAGATCTCCATAGATTCCAATATAAAATGATCTACATAAAAGAATGACAACGATCTACATATAAGAATGACAAGGCGTACTGAGGATAAATCATATTCATTTCTCAGAAAAGGATAAATCCAAGTATAAATAAAGGAAAAAACCATATCATTTAGCATGTATTAAACAGTCTAAAAATATACATGGCCCCAAAATCTATAGATTCAGGAAGTAAATAAATTGGAAATAAAACTTTAATTTATAAGATTGTTGATAAAAAGGGAGTATCAAGGAAGTACAATAGTATACCAGAACTTCATAATAGTTTACGGTCAGGGCATATGCACAGGCTTGCTTCGTGAAGCTAAAACAGATTATTTAAAATCATTTGTATTTACCATAACTCTTATTCCATTCTCTCCAAGTTTCTCTTTGCTGTAGGTGGGCTCACATACACGTACAACATCTTTAACACCATGTTTCTGAAGCTCCTGGATCACAAATTAAAATTATGTTATTAAAAATGAAAAGAAAAAAAATCATAACACAACAAATTGACAAATTAAACAGAACCTCAAATAATGCACCGATGAACACATGAACACTCAAAGCAGTCAAGAAAGGTCAGCTCTGAGATTTTGTACCATATGAATAAAAAAAAAAAAAATCTTAACTGAAAAGAATGTTTTACTCCATGTTTACTAGGGCTTAAAAAAAGTTAATTAAATCTTAGTACCCCCCCACTATTCCTTCCCATTTATCTATTCTACATATTTCGGTCAGGATTGATGATTCCTGTTGGGCTTCTATTTAAATAAATATTAGACAGTGTGATGGGCACCAGGTCAAGGCCCTGCTGCTTATTAGCAATGGCGTCAAAGCAGCTTCCACTGAAGAAAACATTTTAGGTGTTATCCAAGGAGATGATTTTGCTGCAGATGAAAATTTCTAATCCCGCATACTTTCGCTAACGCTGACTGTACAATCAACCTTGAATAATATTTAAAATATTTGTAAAAATGCAATGTAGGTTTACATTTAAATAAATTTAATGCTAAAAAGCTACCTGTATTTGGAACAATTGTAAACAATTCTATAGACTAAACAACTATTTTACCTGCAAGAACTTGTCAAGATTGGCATCTGTTGGCCGATCTGTAATGAGGAATCTCATGTTCTTGAAGCAGATCTCCGCGGGTTCTGGCCTGCGTGCTTTCATCATGGATGCTGTTAAAGGCAGCTCGCATTCGTGGCTCGACCAAATCTTACTGAAACTCTTTCCTCTTTTGGAAAGAAAAAGATAAATAAAAACACACAGCCTCTGTAACTTCCCAGGAATATAGCTTTTAGTCCAGAGGAGAATGTAACCACTAGCACACACAAACACAATTTTCAGTGTGGAAGAACACGGGTTGAGTCTGTCACACAGGTAATCACTGTTAAATGTTGAAGCACTTAAGTTCCAGGTACTAGGGTAGGTTACTTACTCCACAAAACAACGCTAATTTGTGATAATACTTTTTTTTTCTCTAAAATAAATGAGGTAATGGTAATACTTCACAATTGTATCCAAGTGTTCACAATGCCACAATTTTTTTTTTTGACACTTGATTAAAAAAATGAGCAACAATCCTGGAATTTAAAAAAAAAAGAGGATGGAATCACTGATCAAAGTAGGAACGCAACAGTTAACTTTAAAAAGGTATATGAGTTTACCCTATGATTGTCGTAGAATAAGATTGATGAAATCCTTCCAGAATTTTCACTCAAATTTTTTTTTTTAAAATTGAGTAGTTGGACAGTCAAGTATGTCACTTTACTTTTTCTTTTATTAATACTCTTCAATTCTTTTATTAATACTCTTCTACTTCCAAACCTTTTTCCCTCAAATGGGGAGAGCTTTTCTGAAAGACAGTTGGGATTGACTAATTCCGTTTCAAAAATCGAACTTTTAAACTTAACACGAACTGCAAACAAAACTGCTCAGATGCTTACTTCAAAGCTTCCATGATTACACTTGAATTTTTTACTTTCTGTTTCTACTTGAAAAATAATAATAATATAATTAATGTTATTCCAAAGGTCTTGAATTGAGAGTTGAGTTCAATCCTGCACAAATGGTCAGCTGTGGTCACAAAATGGCAGTATTATTAACAGGCAGTTAATCTGCTTGACTGTGGGGGAGGGGAGAGCCGAAATGCCAGTAAGTCTACCCCATTAAAATAGCGACGTTGGAGAGTAAGGTATGACGTAGAACCTCTCTGATTTGGCAATGTAACCCTGGGCCAGTCTGGACCAAGGGCTGTTGGTGAAAGTGTGCGACAAGAACAGGGGGTGAATCTTCAATGTGTGTCCTCCAACTCAGAAATGGCAAAGTACAGTTAGTCACTGTGGTGGATGAGACAACTGAGTTGTGAAGTTCTTTTCATGTAAACAAACAAAAGTACCGGAACTCGATGACACACCTAAAAGTAAACAACAGGAGAATAGTAAATTCAAGCAATTGGCAGAATAGGAGTTTAGATAAAAACACAGAAAACATTACTAGATATTAATTTCTTAATCAAATAATTCTCTAATGTTTAAAAAAAATTAACATCCTGATAAATACCAGAGAAGAATTTTTCACATTTCTTTAGATTACAAGGTAGGTCTACATATTTTTAGCTATACCTAAACATTAAATTAATCTACATATTTTTAGATTATAAGCTGTATCTACACATTGATAACTTATATGCTTGATCTATACGTTAGCTTATTTTTTTGGCTTATTTACTTGGTCTATAGAGCTATTTCAGAAAAATCTTAATACCCTCAAACTTATAGTAGATGCAGAAGCACTAATTCCACTTGGTATTATTGTTATATTTTTTTTAAACATTGAATCAAGCTAGAAGCTTACAGATAAAATTACCTTCAAGTGAGGTGTGAAAAAATCTTGTATGATCAGGATACCGAGGTGTGGGGTGTAAACTTTAGCAACTGATCTATAGAATCCAAGGTGCACAATTAATTTAGACTTTAGCAAGACGCTCCGCTCTCTTGGCAGGCTGAGGTCTTACTCCTCGCGTGGGAAGTGTTGTGCCTGGCAGTAATCTCCACTGTTGGTGACAAACTCCATAAAGGTGTGGCCAAACTCACCGAAAAACTACGAGGAAAAAAGATAAAAAGATAAGTTAAATTTAATAAAGTGATTGCGTTTTGTAAAAGTAATAAGCAATGCTGGTTTCATACAGCTGTTTTCAGAATAAACATACACAAACGCACACATCTATTATTACATGGGAGATTCCTTCAGAACTTTGGCAATGTATTTCATACAAAGACAGAATAGCTAAAATATTCTGTATGCACTCTTCCAGTAAATTTGTTTTTATTATTTTATTATTATTTTACTTCTACAGTGGGTTTCTGTCAGCATTAATACTGTTGTGTGCTTTCCACACTTGTATTACAACTGTATTGCTGTATAAAAGATTAAATATTTACAGATATATTGCCTCCGAATAAGAGTTAAATAAGTTAATTCTTTTTTAAAAATCTGATCTTAAAACAGATGACCTAAAAAAAAAAAGCTTTGCAAATAAAACATATAAGTTATAGGAAAAATCTAATGGGCAAATGACTTGCTTTAAATGAGAAACTTACTGAAATCAGGTCCAAAAGCAAAAGTTTTATTGGAAATAAAGGAACAGAAGGCCCTAATTTAACTTCATATATCTGAGAAAAAAAACTTCACTAAATAAATCACATCACAACAAATGACACTGGAAAATTTGTCCCTTCAACACCATATCCCCAGTGGCCTACACAAACAGAACTGAGCAAATAATAGGCAGGCCTACAATCAGCCCAGAACTTCACTACACATTCTCTTTTCAAACACAAAGTACAGTGCTTCTTTCTGAACAGCATGAAATGTGTGTGGAAAAGAGGGGGAAAATGTGTGTGTGTGTGGGGGGGGGGGGGGGTTGAGAACCTGTGTACTAGAGCTATGGAGCTTAGAAATTCAGTGCATTGAACTAGATATTTATAGGTCTGTTATTGGTGACAATCTGCCACTTGCTGAAATTTAAAAAAGAAAAAAATTGTTTTTCTTAAACTTTTATGCAGGAGGTTGTAATTTTTAAAAAAAATTTTTTTGCTTGAAATTTATACAGGATTCATTAAAATAATTTTCAAAAATGATAAACTGAGGAAAAAAATGTTCTATTATATCACATTGTTGAGTTATGGGCGTGTTCCAAAAATGGAACAACTCAGCAAATACACTGTTGCATTTTTTCAGGTACATGTTCCTGCTATCCCATTGAACTAAATTTATCAAGAAGTGCATAACAGATTTTAAAAAAAGTTAATAAATACTAAATGCAATGTCAAAAGTGTTCCCTTTGTAATTGCCTCACTTAACTGAAGGGCATTAAATGAACCAACACTTTATTGCTGTCTATTATCTGGATTTCACCCTGATATGGCTGAAACAAGGCAATCTAGCATCTGTGTGTTGCGCCACACAGACTTAAACCAAACAAATGGAATCTCCCTAAACACATTGTTTTTGCCCCTTGCCCCTTATACAGCTGAAACAAGGCAATCTAGCATCTGCATGCTGCACCACACAAAAACTTATAGCCAAACAAATGGAATCTCCCCAAACATATTGCTTTCCCCACAGATGACCAAAATAAGGATCCACAAAGTCATCAAAGCTTAAATATGTTTCAGTTGAAACACAATCAATGCATCACTCATTAGCTTTGTTTTATGAGAGGCAGCGACTTGAAAAACTTGACAACACTGCCTTAACTGACATGGTTAGCAATGCGCAGATTAGCGTTTCAAAGTGATTAAGTCTCATGGCAGAATACTAAGAAGTGCATGATGCAAATCTGGGAACATACAAAACCACTCTTTTGGGAACTGATACGAAACCATTCGTAAAAAAAGTTGAATTCAGAGCCATTCAAGCCAAGATTAACCCAAATACATGCAGCATACAATTAGGAGTACTAGGAGAACATGAAAATAATGTCAAAGAGATGAAAATGTTAACGAAATTCTGTTAGAGCTCATGTTACATTGAAGAAATCATGTAAAGGTTATTTAGTCTACCTGCTGGGGGTTGAGCAGTTAGATAAGTCTATTTAGACATATGTCCCTTTCTTTCTTTATGATGGCAGTTTGATGGAACTTCATAAAGAGAGTATGCCTATGAGGGACCAGAGATCATAGTCATTTTGAATAAAAACACCCAGTCATGCAAGACCACTAAAGTTGGAGAACACAGTGCCATTTGTTAAGTTCCTCCATTATTTTCTAAATACTGTCAACTACATTTATTTTACATCATAAAACAAAATAACTCCAAAAACAGCTTCAACAATGCTATGTCTACACTTGACCAACACATACCCTAAGGGTATTTACATGGTATTTAATTTGATAATGATACAGAGGGGGAGGGGCCATTTAGCGCACCCCCCCCCCACATTACACACATTTTTTCACACCTATGCCCTACACTTGAGGTGCATACAATAAAGAAATGGCCCAGGTCATCACCAAATCCTCTGTTCTAAGGTTACCCTTAGCCGTAACCTTCAGAGGTATGGTCTATACAAAACGAAATTCTTTCAACGTGGCCCACAAGAAGATTAATAACATACATTACTCCATTAATATCACACAGATTAAAGACTCTGAAATGGGGGCAGAATGTGTGTGATATGCAGCCCACATGTAAGTAGACAAAAGCTTATTCCAAGTTAATGTCATAGACTGCAGACGCATTGCATTGACATTTGAATTTTTTCTCTCTTACTTCTAGTTTCTAATACTAAAATGACAATATATATATTTGATATATATATATATATATATAAAGAAAAATACAAATATACATATAATTAAAAATGTGCAACCGCAGAGTGTTATAAAACAAGATAACACAAGTCATAGACAAACGCACTCAGATGAATAAATGGATAAAACTAATTAGGACATCAATCCGCTTCCCACTGCTCATTAACTAATGGTTCCTGGCGGACTTACTGGCAGAACTGAGCTAAATATTCAATTGAAAACTGCTTTAGTCAACATCTTGTTACAGATCTTAAGCTGGTAAAATCACACAATAATCCCACAAACGGAGCACCAATAATAGACATTTAGCACACAAAAAAACTACCTGTGCTGCAGACAGACAACACACAATCTACAACTCATCCAAGTCAAGCTGACCCAATTACTCACGGCAAACACAATCTATCTCCTATAATCCCCACACAGTAACAAAAAAAAATGCAGCACAGTTACCTTGACAACGGCCAAAACAAACCATGAACAGAGAACAGGGCGAGGGGGTTGGGGGTGGAATGCAGGCAAGCGAGGCAAAAACGGCTATCGAACTTCACCTCAATGTCTTGGTGTCTAGTCAGTAGAACATGTCTAGGTTGTCACGTCAGTATGAAATGTCTTGGTAGTCTAGTGAGTATGACATGTCTTGGTTGTCTAGTCAGTAGTGTGTTGTAATAAATTTTAGCACGAGATCACCCCCGATACATTGTCTGACCAGCTATGTTCTCACCTGTCCTCAGGAGTAAGTGTATGTGGGTGCAGGGCCGGCCTTAGGCCACTGCAACCTATGCAGCCGCAGTGGGCACCGCACTTTCATAGGCCCCAGTTTCTAATCCAAAATCTTAATTTTCACTTATTATCCTTATCCCTACCTAGACTGGGCCCCGCGCAATCCGTTTCGCATAGGGCTCCGCAATTGTTAGGGCCGGCCCTGTGTGGCTGACAGTATAAGGAGCAAATAAAAGAGTGTATTCTATAAATGGTTCACTATTGTGGCACAGACACATCCTAAATAAATGACAAGAGACAGACAATATGAACTGCTCTTATCACTCGTTAGTTCAACCATGAACCACTGACAGGGATGCTGCCAGCCGAGAAAGTAGGGGCGCTGAGGTAGCCGCGAAAGTAGGGGCGCTGAGGTGGCGGTCCACCCCAGGATTCACCTTTTACTTTAAATGAAGGGGCGGCAGAAATCTTGGCCCGCCCCGGGCGGCACGTACCCCAGCTACGCCACTGGATGCAGCTATAGTAAAACTTGCAAAATATTCCTCAGCCATAAATGATGGGTGGACGGAGGGAGACATAGAGCCAGAGAGCCACCCCAAATGACTCAAAGTCAATCGTAGAAATACGACAGGTGACTGTGTAGACTCAAGGAACAAACAATCTTTTACATTACAATTGAGGGGTTGACCTTCGCTTTCCCAGTTCAACGGCTCTCGTGACAAGGAAGGTCACAGAGAAAACGATCAATTAGTCTGCCAGGATGTAGATATCACAACCGTCATAAATTATAAGTCATCAATCGGGGCTGCGTCGGGTTCTATAGACACGTTATATAGGAATGATATCCAGAGACCATGCCACCACGCCTTTCCAAGCATCAAATTTGGTGATACCACCATCGTTGGCTTAATATAAAAAAAAAGGAATGGCTTATACTATACCTAGTTACAAGATTGGTATAGCACTTCATCAATGACATACGTGTCATCAATGACATACAAATGTTACTGAATAGGGAAAATATATCGGCGTGCAAGAATAAACCGTGCCATTCCAAGTACTTAGTGTTAAAATAACTCAACTAAGATACGACACGGGTAATAGCACGCTATGCACCTCTACAACCGGCTTAAGTGCTGGGAGACTTTTAATGCACATTAAGAAATAAGACCATTTGCCCTATGAATACTTCCATGTACACCAGAAAATCTTATCAAACGGTTATACATCATGTCACACAAACGGAGAAATCAGAGATAATGTCAATATATTTGGCGGGGTAGAAGTGTGACCGCTGGAGATCAGTATTGCCTGGACAACCCTCACCGCCACCACAATTAGCAGTATCTAGCGAACTTCTCTAGAGGCGAAATTTTGGTAGTATGAACAAAAAGAGAGTGATGGCCAGGAGGGAAAAGAAAATGTTTCTTGCGTAAGCCTTTGGACCAAACATGTATTTAATTACATATCGGAAATGTATATGTAAGGCAGTGATAAGTCAGCTACCGTACGTACGGCCCCATTAGTGAGACAGTGATACATCAGCTACCATACGTACGGCCCCATTAGTGAGACAGTGATATACGACAGCTAGCATACGTACGCCAACAACTAATTAAATTACCACGGGCGCCAAACCAGGCAATCAATACCAGGCTTACACAATACATCACCTGTTGAAAAGGACTTGATATGTTTGCCTGCTTGATAGTGGCTCACAAGAACACCTATAAGTGGTGGAGGGGAGAGAGCAGGTCAAGGGATCTTTGGACAAGGCCATCAGACCACGTGTCTATCAGAAGCTGTACAGCTAATTAATTATCACTTCCTCTTCGCCGCGGCTGAACATCCCCTCCCCCACAAGTGCAGCACCAGCCAGTATTGATCCACACTCAGCAGTGTTGTGTCAGTCGCCCAAAACAAATCTCGTCTCCAACATGTCATTCCATCGTCAGTAAGGTCGGTGTCATTCGATCGTCAGTAAGGTCGGTGTCATTCGATCGTCAGTAAGGTCGGTGTCATTCGATCGTCAGTAAGGTCGGTGTCATTCCATCGTCAGTAAGGTCGGTGTCATTCCATCGTCAGTAAGGTCGGTGTCATTTCATCGTCAATGTCCTTTCAATAATATAGACCCAAAACTAATGATGGTTTCAGCAACAGCATACCACTAGTCAGCATGGAACACACGTGTCCCCTTCGCTCTCCTCGGCATAACGTTATTTCACCAGACAAGATCATTGGGTTGGTAGACCCACAATGAAATACGTGGAAATCGACATACTGTGATCAATACTCACAAGCTAGCAGCTTTAGAGAAGCAGCTGTCCGTTAGAGAAAAGTTGACATTATAGTTGATATGTGGTGACAAAAAGTATGTGGGATGAGCACAATTCTACTAATCATGACGTGACCAACTTCAAGTGTTGTCAGCCCCCCCCCTCTCTCTCTCTCCCACACACACAAATGCATGTTAAAAACATCCTTTGAATGTCACTTGAATGGAATAACGCTGTTTTATTACATAATACTTGGGAGAAAGACAAAATAACGACCATTATGCCAAGTCAGTGACTCTGGTTCAAGAGGAGGAAGAAGCAGGGGCCGACGACTTAAGCTTACCTCGCCACAATACATCCATTCAGCACTAAAATATTCACTGCCACCAAGAACTGCTCGTTAGTAAACAAAGTACATCCAGTGAACCAATCCACATGACGGAGTCCCGCAGTGTGTCTGTCTATCACAGAAAGTATAGGGAGCGTCTCGGTGTGCTATAATTAGACGGACGCAATTAGGGAAACCCCAGAGGCCAAAAGAAGAAAAAAAAAAGCCTAGTACTAACATTTAAATAGGTGAAATCTCCAGTGCATCTCTCAATGTATATCACAGAGAAGGAAAACAAAAATAAACGATAGCTTTATTAGAATAGCTACAGCCAATAGCACACTTCTTCCAATATCACGACTGGAAGTGATTTCCCAGCAACAGAATCCATTCACAAAACTGTACCGTAAATGATTTTGACAGAACTTGCACAGTGCGCAGTTCAATAAAGAACGTCGCGACCCGTGACCAAAAGGCTATATTTAGAACAAGTATCGTAGTGTGGTGCAATATTCAATGTTAATTGCGCGGGGATTTCAAAGAAGGGTACGTAATCCTTTTTCCTTACTTGTTTGATATTAATCTGGCAATCGCAATCTCTGCCTCAGATTAACAACTAGAATACCTTGAACATGAATGCCAATCTCATGTGAGAGCAAGTCACTTCGCGGGTGATCGAGGCAACCTTGGTTAATATCAGTAATTATGGCAGTTTAATTAAGGTTCTACAAAAAATGGTCTGATCCGGTACTTCATAACACCAAATGCCAGACAAGACAATTCTGGATATAAGAATGTCTTCCTATTAGGAAAAAAAATATGTGGAAATAATGGATATCCGTAAAAATGTAAACTATGGGCTGCTTAAGACATGTCAAATGATCATTGATACGTTTGTGTGTGGCCTACTTCAATCAATTGGGTTTAAGTATCGGTTAAATCCAGGAGACGGAAAAGGCAGATGGAAAATAGTTCAGCATAAGATTATCTTCTAATATACATCTCTCCATAATATCACAAAGACTCATGGGAGTATTGATTAGAGTAAAACAAGGCTGACAGCGAAGAGGCTGCCGGCGAGTTGACCCTATCGCCAGACCATCATGGCCGGTCTCAGAATGACAGAGCATTTCTCCCAGCCACGCACATTGCGATAATCCCAGGGACTTGCACGCAAACGTGACCGGAACAGAAACACGCTCTGCGAAAGGCGGACTGCTATTAAATATTACCGACTCAATGAAAGCTGGAAATGCGGTGCGAACCAAAAAAATGAACTAATTATTACTTACAAAATCTTCGACTTGAAGGTGTTAAGACATAAGATAGTGGTAACAATCGCAATGTAATGTTGACAGACATCAGACAGAGGTAAAAATCACAACGTCATGCTATCAGAAATCAGTTGTAACAAACACACAAGTTTATGTTGTTAGACATCAGACAGTTGTAATAATCACAACTTAATGATGTCGACGGGCAGGAAAAAAAGATAAATAACCGGTCGATGTGCCACGTGTCAGCTTGATAGGTTGACGGGAAGTGGGTCTATTATGCCAACATGAAGCACACGAGAGACAAGCTGGTACGGGAGGTTTTGCACCTCATAAATTCTATCAGTTCCCACAATGGACAAGGATACGCAGGATCGAAATTTCAATCTTCAAAATAAGCTGAATAAGATCTATCAAATCATCTGAATATCATAATATTTAGACAGGCAAAAAGAAAAGATTGATGATACCGGTAGCACTCAGCGTGTACAGACTGTCTTAACAGATAAGAAAAGATCTCCAAACACTTCATCACCAGGAGCTGAGCCGCCACGTGATATCGCTGTCACACACGACGCTACGCGTGACTTGAGCTCTACGGAGCACGGGACGGACAACGTGGTGTGGGGGAGCAAATGGTAGGCGTCAATTAGCCAACGCCGGCTTTCACAAATCCTAGGTCTCTGAGGAGGAGACACTTAGCAATGTAACATGGAACCAATAGAGGCATTACAATCTATGTAGTCCTGGTTCCAAACTGCATGATTAGCAGACAGTAATCTTAAAACTAATACTATTTTTTTCAGAGAGAAAACTTTTGAATCTGTGTTCTACAAAGACAAAGCTATGAATAATTTCGTAATGCTCCCAAGCACACAAAAAACTATTTTCGGTGTGTGCTCTTATACCGTAGTGATAATTTCTGACAGTGTATCTAAATTTACCCGAAAAAGTTTGGAAACCTCTGATGCGTATATATATATTATATGTGTGTGTGTATGTGTAAAGGCAAATAAAAGCTGACACTTAAGCTCCCTGTACCGTACACGGCATGTTCTAATTTATACACCCAAGACATGTCAGCAATCAAGGATTATACAACAAGGGACGCAGACTCTGCCTCCTGGAGCCATCTTAGTTAAAACAGTTACATCAGCGTTTCTGTAAGCACGACCAAAATTGATAAGAGTAATGATAAAATAAAGCTATGGACTATAATGCCGAGAGTTTGAGTGCCAATGAGAGTAATAAGACCTGGTGAAGAAGGCTTTAAATGTCTTAAGCAGCGGTGTCAAGAAATTATTGAGAAACACTGCAGTGGGTTTTATCCGGTGTGAGATCCGCTGATGTTCGGTACTCGGAGAAACCTGCTATGCACCGGTGTATAAATTAAATGTCACTTAGACATTAAGTTAAGAGTATCTGGGAGACACCACCTCGACAAAATGTATCCCCCGCCCCCCCCCCAAAAAAAACAACACCATTTTCCCCTGCCCACTCACCCTAGATAGCACAGTGAGATGACCCATCTTTCCGCCCCACGACGACAGCTGATTTTTAGTAATTCATCTTCAGCTCTAAAAGCCTGTAATTGCATATGTTAGCTAAAGAGGGAGAGAATACAGAGCTATTGATCCCGATGCTCGATATACAAGGAGCGAAAGTAATCGAATGCCACAGCTAGTGGTATACAGGTGCGAGCAAAGGTTAAACCTTATCAAACAGACGTACGAGGTAATAGGCCACACTGAACGAGTCGTCCAATATTGACGAGTACAGTGTACAAGAAAAGGGATGGCAGTGAGATTGGTTCTTAGACGTATACAGTCAATATGTACGAGTTGGAGAATAAAACTTAGTAGAGTAATGATGCCTGCATTTTCTTAGAGTATTGGTAGATTCGATATAGATCTATTTAAGTATAAGGGGAAAAAACGAGCGTAAACGATACCAAGGCATATCATTTGAAAGGTTTGATGGAATATACTGCTATGACTGGAAACTAGAGAGACTCTCGCCGTACATCAACACATCCTCGTTAGTATTAGCTTTTGTTACATTCACACCTCACTCGTTAGTATTATCTTTTGTTGCATCGCAACACCCCCTAGTTAATATTATCATTGCGTTTTTGCGTTTACACCAAAACTAAAACCTCGTTTGTATCAGCATCGTTGTACATGACCTTCCTTGTTATCTTAAAGACTCGCCTACCCTCTCTTACAACATCCCACAGCCCTTAGATACCATACCATCCCACAGCCCTTAGATGCCATACCATCCCCATAAAGACACCAGCCCCGCCCCTCCAGTAACACCGACCAAATTCAACAACGAGGGCACTGCATTAAACGAAAGAAAACGGCTAATTCGCCGAAACCACCTTGTCACTACCCCTGGCACCAGCTGGATAAGGTAGTATTTCCACTTGTGTGCTGCATTATTCATGACGTAAATGAATTGCGTCATGAGACAAACGCGAACATTCGCCCCCCCCCCCACACAAAAAAGTGCGTAAATGTTCCAAGGTCACACAACTCCCAGGTCATTTCCAGTGAGTGGCGACAACAGACTAGACATTGAAAGTCAAGGAAATTTTTCAAACAAAGCTCTGGAACACAGCAAATGAAGTCTAAGTAAAGCAAAACGTATGGTATAAAAGTAGTTTTCATGGGTCTCAGAATTGGCCTGTGTGTGTGTATGGGGGGGGGGGGGAGGAGGCCTCACATTCAAAGGGGTGCTCAAATTTTAAGTAGAACACAAAGCTGAGAAACTGCGTTATTAAAGTAAAAGTACATGCTATACGGACTGACTGAGATTGAGGCAACGCCTTCAGTCTTAAAACAGCCCCGAGATGACTTCCTTAAGACGACTTGTGGTGAGTAGGGTTAACCAGGCACGGTCCATATTACCACTGATCGATGGAATCGGATTCTAACAGAGGGTTAGAAATTACAATAACAGCAGATATAAAGAGGCAGGCTCTGATCACTGGACGAAGTGCTGGATAACATTTGGAAACGCCATCAGTAATAATACAATCAAGAATACGACCTCCACCCAATTTAATACACCCTATACTAATCTACTTGGGAAGAGGTAAAATCTCTACAACGTAAGACACCCCCCCCTTTTTTGTTTATACTCTCCTCACGTAAGGTGAGGATGAATGAACGTATACCAACCTCTCGCATGATAAAGCAAAGACGTATTCTCCATTCAAACACAGAAACTAGCCCCCCCCCCCACCAACTATTAAAACCCCAATATGTTCCCATTACTAATCTCTGACACGTTTACAGATGTTTGGCGAACAAGCATGTTGACCGATCAACAGCCCCCCCCCCCCCAATTGGTTCATCCATGACCAATGAGCCACATGATTCTTAATCGAAATAGAACTAGTTTGAGGGGTGTGTGGGTGGTTTCGATGTCTTGTATGCTATTTTTTGCCTGAAGCAGTGGTTCCCAAACGTTTCAGTTTGGCGGACAAGTGAACAAGTTTCAAAATTCTACCAGGGACCGGTGAATGATTTATTTTTATACTTTTATTTCTATTTGACAATAAATATTTTTGTTATGGGGACCGGCAAAGGTCCACGGACCGCCATTTGGGGGGACCACTGGTCTAAAGCATAACGTATTTGTAAGCCACTAAAAAGATACAGGGTGTCAGTGGCAGAGAAGTCGAACACCCCAACACCGGTTTTAAAAGATAAAACTTTGTATCAAAATCCCAGATAAATCAATAAAAAAAGTACCCCCCCCCCCCAAAAAAAAAAATAAAAAGAATCACAGTTCGTGGCAGCCGTTCCCAATCACGTGGTGTTATTGGGTTACAAGTGCGCCCCAATGTAGTAATGTTGGGAACAGATACAACCGGCAATGTTAAAATACGCCATCACCGGGTAGTAAATTCTGAACGATAAAATTCCTTCAACATTTATTCTAATTGTAGTGCAGTAAGCACTATTTACCAGACGCTACTAATAACTATAACATTATAAATGAGACGATCTGTACTAACACTTCCAATACTCAAGTGGCGTGGCCGTTGTAACCGTGACGTATGGTGGGCGCGTTTTCAAATAAAACCAGAACTTTTAAAGTTCTGGGAGGGACAGGGACACACGCCGACTCAACAATGACTACCATACAGGTATCTAGTTGACTAGTAAATAAGTTACCTTTATTACAGAGAACCCTTACAAAAAAAAAGAAACATGTACACACATGTAATGATTGTATACATCCGATAGAACTCCACTTAAAAATATGTCGCCGACACTCCAGACACGTCTAAAGTACAATTAAAAACAAAACGGGTGACATCGCGCCCAACCGACACCTTGTGACGGTTCAGGATTCAGGCCACCATCTTACCCTAACGCCGCCAATTGTCTAGAAAGCTCCCAGACGCTACACGCATTTACCTCAATGACAAAACGTACACCGAAACGAGTTGGGGGTGTTGTTTGTACCGCCAACCGAAGTGCACGCCACCAAGCCAGCCCTCCCATATACCATGGTCTGGTATGTCAACAGGAGGCGGTAAGGAGATCGGTTGTACAAGGTACCCGTCAATTCATAAATTGGCAGGCCGCCACAAGGGACAACCCCGGCCATTCTCGGCAGCACACCAAAACAACGGTAGCTCCGGTTGTACGATAGCTATTGTAATAGTGACACCTCGGCACACCACCCTAGTGGACAACGATAACATGCACGCCCGCAGGGCAGGTCAAACAAAGTGCACAGGCACAGGGGACAGCCAAGAGGAACTGCTAGGGGAAAACAATACTAATAGTGGACAAGACAGAAAGCACTTACCTGCCCTGACCTAAAATGTAACAAAAAACCAGCCCTGATCTAACAAACCTACCCTTACCCAAGATGTAACAAAAACCCTGTAACATATGTAACAAAAATAACACTGACTTAAAATGTCACACACCACAACCCCTGCCTAAGATGTCACACACACCACAACCCCTGCCTAAGATGTCACACACCCCACAACCCCTGCCTAAGATGTCACACACACCACAACCCCTGCCTAAGATGTCACACACCACAACCCCTGCCTAAGATGTCACACACCACAACCCCTGCCTAAGATGTCACTCAGCAAAAGCTGTGACACATAGCAATCCTGGCCCGCACCTTATGCAGATCACTGTAGCCACTGACCCCTCTGGCCTTTGTCTTAGCAACAGGCCACAGGGCCGTGCCCAGCCAACAGACACCTATCAATGTTTACCCACGTTAATGAGAAAGACACCCATGGGGATAAACCAAAGTGAAGTTTATTAAACAATATCAACCAGGTGTATAGGAACAGGCCAGGATATGTGAGGAGAAAAGGGACTTGCAACCCCTGATCAACAACAACACTCCACAGTTTATAAACTGCCCAGAAGCTATGGCCTGAAGGAAAGAGAATATAAAAATAGAGAACTGAACTCTTTCAAGGACTAAACAACCATTGGCTAGGCGAATGACTTCAGCAGAGCATGAAAGCCATAAGCTATATTGATTGGGGTACCACACTTTATTTTTGTTCTTGCCATGAGTTGCATTGCTAGCTGAAGTTTTTTAAAAAAGGGTGAAGGCTCACAACAGAAAGACAGATTAATAATTTAAAAAACCTCATTAATATACCCCACCCACACACTTCTTTTTTTCCACCACCATTACGTCAAAAGGCAATACACCTTTATACATACTTTAGCAACCTGTTTACCCCCAGACTCTTAAAATCGTACAATATCATCACAAAATCATTTTAATACATTATCTTAATAGTAAAAAAACACAGTATATATAATGTATACACCTTAAAATTGTACAATGTGTACGCCAAAATCTCAAGAGTAAACAGGTCTTCTCAGAACTGAAATTACCACTGCCATTAAAAAAAAAACACAAACAAATGGCCCATCTATATACTGAGACATTCTTTTTTTAACATCTTGCTTTAACACACTGCCTCGGACAAATTGTTACTAAAAAAATTAATATTAAAGTTGTTCACAAAACATTTCATACTGAAAAGTGTACAAGGCCAAGATAACACAAAAATAAATTGATATTCCTGTATAAAATTAAATACAACCTGAACCTCATTGTAATCAAGCGTTAATTTTAATAAATGTTTCAGATGGATTATAATATCCTAGAAGAAACCTCAGACATCACGCTAATACTAAAAACACTGCAGTCATTTTCTGCTCCTTAAACATAGTCTATCGCTTGATAAGACAAACCAATAAAAAAATTCAAAATATTCCTAAAGATAGTTTGAGCCGGTGGGAGCTGCTGGGCGTTTCTTTTGTTAGCGCCAAGGTTTGTATCGTAAATCGATCAAAATATTCATTATTCTGATCCCGTTTTGCTTCAAGCTTTTAATTTACCGACAGGATGTTTATATTCGAACCGCATGCTATCGGCAGAATATTTTTTAAAAAAACGATCTGTTAATTAATTTTGATTTTATTTCCAATCTAGTTACAAAATGGTACTACTTGCTTACTGTGGTAACAAGTGACAGGGTTACTAGAGGCACATAAATGATTGAAAGTGCAAATATTATTCAATTTCTTTGTTCTTTGGTGCCTTTTTCTTATTATTGGATATACTAATTTGGAAACCACCAAATAAAAGGCTTTAAATCATTTGGAAATTTAAAAGTGATACGTAAGTTGGCACATTTATATATTTTTAAATTGTTTTTTTTAAATTAAAATTGTACATAAAATTTAACAATCAGTAAATTTCCAACAAAACTGAACTTCAAAATGATTTAAGCTTATCTTATAAGCAATTCAATTACCTACAAAATGGTTTATTAATCATTAGAATATATTTATAATTGAGAAAACTGCAGCTGCATTTGTACATACACCTAAAATGAGAAAATGTGACCCAGATTTAATTCTACCACAGCGGGTTTTTCAATCTGGTAGCTAATTAGTTAAATTGGGAGGTAGGTATGTATAAAACAAATTTGGAAATTAACTTAAATATCGTTAATGATGGTGGGGGTGTGTGCAACTGTCTTAAAAAGCTATTTTTTCCTGGATTACACAGTCACCCACCAGAGGAAAGGCATCTTGTCTGAGCTTTGCTCTAATAAAAGGTCTAGATCATGTTACAAGTAAGAAAATAGAAACTTATATATATATATATATATATATATTTATATTTATTTATTACTTTAATGGCCAAGTGGATACCAAAAGATTTAACGGATAAAAACATTTCAACAAACAAAAAAATTACTTTAGAAAATACTAACATCGTCACCAACAACCTATGGTAAACTTGGCGGACAATGTCTTCCACGGAAATAGGTGATAGGGGCTACCCAGGTTTACCTCCAGCTACAGGTTTTGATTTTGCTCGGTAATTATTTGATACAAGCTGCTCTAAACAATTTTTTTAATTCAATAATTGTCTTGAAGGCAGTTGAGGAGCCTCTCCTCCCAAGATAATTATTCTGAAATGTACTGTGCTCATATTCCTTATCAGCAAAGATGAGGTTTCATCTTTTAATTTCATTTAAACAAATAAGTGAAAGTTGAATTTTAACAATACTGGTAAATTGAATTTTAAATACAACTACTATAATTTAAAAACTTAACTATTTAGACGATCTAGATTATGGTTTGAAAAATGCTCTGTGAAATACAGTAAAGTTGAGTGTTGCCACAAACTGGAATATGCAAAGTGACATCACTTTGCTTAGGGTGAGATCCCACTAGTCATAACCCATAGTAAAAACCCTCACTAAAAAGCTAATGGCAAAATAAAAGGACAATGATGTCACTTCAACACTAGACTGCAATAGACAATTAGATTTTATTTATAAAATTTTCTCAATAAGCAAAGCATGAATTCTCAACTTTGTTACAAAAGCAATGCATGAATTTTCAACTTTGTTACAAAGTTTGAAACGAATTCTTTGGCTTTGCAGCTCCCTTAAGACACTCAAGTGGTGCAAGTTACCTAGAATCAACAGTCAGTAGGCCTATATAGCCAAAAGCAAAGTTATGTTCAATTGATGTTCTTGGCTACGTCTTACAATGAATGTAGATTAGGGAGCACTAAACCTTATTTTGGTGGCTTTACTAACAAAATAGTATTTATGCGATTTATATACTAACCGAGTCATAATAATACTGCCCGTGATGCACAAAAAATATCGTAGCATAAATTAATGTATGACCGGAACACAAAAACTGATACGTCAGTGATGAGGAAAGCAATTATTTAATAAACAAAGGTGCCGTAGTATGCAATTTTCCAATGATACAGTGTAGCTGTACGCCATATTGCAGAACACGTTTTTTCGACATTTTAGGATATGCGCAGAACGGTGCGAGGACAAGTATTGTCATCCCTAAATTAGTATTTTTAACAAATCAAAAGATGGCAATAACACCTGTTAATCAATGTGTCTTTTTTCATGTGTTTGCCTGTTTGGAGTATCGAGGATGAGCTTATTTTTTTCTCTTTCTTTCATGTTAATAAAAAATAAATGGCAAATTTCATTCCATTTTGGCTGATTTGAAGAGATAGCACCCTGGTTCCTATAGTCTATAGGGTTAAAACCCTGGTTCCGATAGGGTCAAAACACATGTTAGTATTGTTAAGGATAAGTTTAGGGTTCAGGGATACATTTAGGACATAAGTTTGCGGCAACCAAGGTAATAAAACGCTATGTAGATACTTCGATGAAACAAGGGAGACTACTATTTTTTTGTATCGGAAATGGCTGTCGGCGCCGAAAAATCCGAGTTTTTAATTTTCCGATGTGTGTGTCTATTTATTATTAAATTAGTTCTTTCCACATATATTTGAGTTCCGTTTCCGGCCTTATAATTTGGAAGACATCTTGGCCTACATTTCTAGCCAGCTATTTTGCTTTTTTCAATCGACCTTTATTTTGAAAATCTTTGGTATATATAAGGCATCTTCGCATACAAAATTTTTTGTGAAATAATAAGATAAGGTCCTTTTTGATTAAATCTGTATGAGCATTAGATATTGATCTATATCTGTGCCAAGTTTCATTGATGTAGGTCGTGTCTCACGTTTGTTACACTTGTCACAGTGACCCATATCACCATAAGGTGGCTCAGCCTAATTTCGACATGGCGTGGGCCACGCCCCCTTTTTAATGGCGGAAGTTGCCGATACTTAGGAAATATTTAATTATTACCACTATATACATCAAAATATTTTATATTTTGTGTTTCAGAATGCATTTTGAAGACATTTAAACTGGAAATGTTTTAATTTGAGCTTTAAAAACCCTGCAGAGTCCATATTATAAATGATCAGAATTTTCCCTGTGCAACACGTTGTCATTGGCAACCATTCACAGCCACTTGCATAACGGCTACGTCGTAGT